ATGTTTAAATTTCATCAATGAGGCATAAGCAAGAAGTAGACGTATAGCCTCTAACCTGACAACAGGAGCATAAGTTTCATCATAATCAATATCTTCCTCTTGACAGTAACCTTTGGCAACAAGTCTGACTTTGTTCTTTGTTATATTTCCATCTTCATCAAGTTTGTTTCTAAATACCAATTTTGTTTCAATCACTTGATGAGATTCTTCTCTTGGAATTAATTCCAGACTTGATTTCTTTCAAATTGATTAAGTTCTTCTTGCATTGCTATGCACCATTGGTCATCTTTAAGATCTTATTCAACACTTTTGGGTTCAATCTGTGAAACAAAAGCTACAAACATACAGAAATTTGTCATATTTCTAATTCTTACCCCTTTTGAGATATCACCAATTATATTGTCTATTGAAAGTCCTCTTGGTGATTGCCACTCTTTTGCCAATTCAGTTGGTTGAGATGGCTCATTCTCATTTAAGTACATTTCTTCTAGAGCTTCTCTTATGTACTCATCATCACCTGCAAATTCTTTATTTGAATCAAGAGGATTTCCCTCAAGGTCTATAATTTCATCAAAGGTGACATGTACAGATTCTTCAATATTCAAAGTTCTTCTATTGAAAACTCTATATGCTTTGCTAGTTAGTGAATAACCTAAGAAAATGGTCTCATCGACTTTTGAGTCAAATTTTCCTAAGTTATCTTTTCCATTATTTAAAACAAAGCATTTACATCCAAATATTTTTAAATGAGCAACATTAGGCTTCCTACCATTTAAAAGTTCATAAGAAGTTGATTTTATAATTGGCCTAATAAGCATCTTATTCAATACATAACATGCAGTACTTACAGCATCAGCCCAAAAATATTTAAGAATATTTGATTCATTTAACATTGTTCTAGTAAGTTCCTCTAGTGACCTATTTTTCCTTTCTACTACACCATTTTGTTGGGGAGTTCTAGGTGCAAAAAAATTATGTAAAATACCATTTTCCTCACAATAATTTTCAAAGCATTCATTTTGAAATTCTCCACCATGGTCACTTCTTAATACCTTAATTCTTAAGTCTTTCTCATTTTGAATTTGCTTGGCAAACTTCCTAAAGACCTTAAAAGCTTCACTTTTTAATGTTAAGAAAAATGTCCAAGTATACCTAGAAAAATCATCAACAATCATAAGAGCATAGTAATTTCCACCAAAACTTTTTATCCTAGATGGACCAAATAAATCTAAATTTAAAATTTCTAAAGTTTTTTATGTGGAAATAACATTCTTAGATTTAAAGGATGATTTCACTTATTTACCTTTTTGACATGCATCACATAATCTATCTCTTTCAAATTTTAACTTAGGGAAACCAACAACTAAGTCCTTTGATATTAGTTTGTTCAATTGATGCATGTTTATATGAGTTTCTCTCTTATGTCATAACCATGAATTTTCTTCATTAGCAACTAAGTATGTTATACTAGTGTTAGATACACAATCCAAATCAATCAAATAGATATTATTATGCTGAATGCCTTTTAGTGCTATATTTTCGGAATCCTTCAAATGAATGGTGCAAAACTTACTTTCAAAAGTATTCTTCCTTTGTTGTTATCCCCATAGGTTACATATCTTTGTTCTTTAGCTTTGAAACTCACAAATTTCGTTTTGTCTCCGGTCATATGTCTTGAACATCCACTGTCAAGATACCACATAGACTTCTTGGATTTGGAAGTTTCCTACAAAACAAGAACATGATAATCTTACGTCACCACAACTTTTGGGTCCTTGGGGTTAGAGACAATCAAATTATTTCACTATAGGAACCCAAACATATTTTCCTTTAGGAACACCAAAATGTTTAATTCTACACCTATTTGAAGTATGACCATGTTTCATACAATAAAAGCATGCATTAGATGTAATATTTGAAAATGATACATTTCTATTTTGTGAAGATTTAGTTCCTTTTTCAATCCATACTCTTCTATTTTTATTATTAGGCTTTTTCAATGGAACATGAGAGTTTTCTCTATTTTGAACAATAACCTTATCCTTATAACTATCACTTAATTCTTTCTTAGCTTTATCAAGTAAGTGGCTAAGTATGTCAATATCATATTCATACTCTTTACATGATGCACATACTATATTTTTATTATCTTTTTCCTCTAAACATGCAATTTTCGTTTTCAAGGATTCCACCTCTTTTTCTGATTTATTCAAACACTTTTTTCACAGATTTATATTCATTTTTCAAGTTCTTAAAAGCAGTAAATAATTCTTCATATGCATTTTTTAAGGCATCATAATCATTTTCATCATCACTTGATGAAGAGTCGGAATCACTAACCTCATAATCGAAAGAGATGTTGTCATTTGCCATCAACCAAATGTTTGCTTCAATTTCCGAATCACTTGACTTCGAACTTGAGTCACTATCATCCCAAGCAATGTAGGCTTTCTTTTTGAAGAATTTCTTGCCTTTATGATCTTCATTTTTCTTGTTTGGACAATCGGTTTTTACATGTCCTGTTTCACTACAACCGTAACATTTAAAATTTAAGGAAGTACTTTCTTTTACCTTTCCCTTACCTTAGAAGGGTTACTTCCCTTTGGATTTCATAAACTTTGTAAATTTCTTGATCATGAGACTCAAATTTTCATCATCTTCATTTTTCAAGTCTTATTCATCCTTCTTGTTCTTGCTTTTAGAAATTTCAGTTTTGAAGGCAAAGTTTCTCTTTTGGTGTTGACCTTCTTCATCGTTTAGTCTTCCGAGTTCAAGTTCATGTTCTCTTAGCTTTCCAAAAAGCACCGCCATAGACATGGTAGCAAGATTTTGTGACTTCGTGATGACTGTCACCTTTGGTTTCCATTTCCTATCCAAAGATCTAAGAATTTTTACATTTAACTCACCAATATCAAAAATCTTACCTAGCCTGGTGAGATGGTTCACTATATGTGTGAAACGCTTTTGAACGTCAAAAATCGTTTCTCCTTGTTGCATCTGGAATATCTCATATTCTTGAATTAGTGAGTTCTTCCTTGCTCTTTTTACATCATCGGTACCTTCATGGGTTACTCTTAGCATTTCCCACATTTCTTGAGCACTATTGCAAACAGATATTCTGTAAAACTCATCAAGGGTTAAAGCAGATGAAATTATATTTCTAGCCCTAACATCATATTGAGCTTTTCTATTTTCTTCAGCCGACCATCTAGTCTAGAAAATGGTTTTGGTACCTCTTCTCCGTTTTCAGTAATTTTAGGAATAAAAGGACCGTTTAAAATTACATCCCAAATACCTCTATCAACAGACTCCAAAAATATTTGCATTCTAACTTTCCAAAAAGGATAATTTTGCCCCGCAAAAAGTGGGGGTCTATTGATAGAAGCACCCTCCGCAAAAGTTTGATTTTGTCTGGCAAATTTTGAAATTGGAATGACTATCAAAGCAAGCTCTGATACCACTTGTTAGAATCGCGCAACAGAATGTTTGCGTTTACGGACAAAAACCAAGAAGGAAGGTGAATTGGTTTCTTAAACAAAAATTAAGGTTTTAAAGTTTTTTCCCAAATTTCACCGATTAAAAATGTTGTGTAAAGTAAATAGATAAGGAAAAGAAGATTACACAGTTGATTTATACTGGTTTGGATCAAAAGACCCTATGTCCAGTTGCTAATCGCTCAAAAAGAGGATTAACGTTGTCACTATAATCACAGTTTACAAATAGATTACAAATTGAAAAGATAAGGAATAGAAAACACCTCTCTTGAGTCACACAAGAGATGAACACGTCCTTTGAATCCACAAAAGATGAAAAACAACTTTTCCTGGAGACGACACAACACACAATCCACCAAGAAACTCACTCAGTGATTCTTATCACTTCTAGCTCACACTAGGTTTTCAAAAGCCCCTTTTTCTTCCCTACAAAAAGTTCTTTAGCAGTCACAACTCTTAACTTTTGTATGAAAAAGGTTTGTTGATTTGCAGAGAGGCTTAGAGAACCTTAAGTAGAGAGAATAGGGTCTAGGAATTGGGGATTTTCGAAAACAGAAGAATTGGGAATAAGGTTTTCAAACTTGGTCCAAAATTGAATTTCAAAACACATAACAGACGCAAATAATCGATTATCTTCAGTGATAATCGATTATTCCAAAGTCATTTTCACAGAGGAACAAAACTGGACCAGGATAATCAATTATCTGGCCAAATAATCAATTATTTGCCTGTGATAATCGATTATCCTGAGTAATAATCGATTATCACAGAGAGGTTTTCCTAAAAATTATTTTCTTGCTATAATAATTGATTATCACAATGTAATTTTGATAAATATGAGTTTTTAGAGCTTTTAAAGGATGGTCTATCTGTTGGCTATCTTGGACTCTAATATTACAGACTCAAAAACATAAAAATAGAGTTATTACATAAAATTACAAGTTTTCAAATCTATAAATCCTTTGTTATTGAATTATCATCAAAATCTACAAGCTTCATATCCTTGAATGTTCAACAAATAATATCACCTATTTTAATAATAATAATAATGTTAAATAGGGAGATGAACACAATTGGTACAAGTAGCAGCCAGCACAACTAAGAAACCTAACGACCCCCGTTTAAACTAAACCCGTCAAAAACAACCAACATAATCAAATCGAAGCATAATGCATAATCAAATAAACGAAATGAAACTGCACTGGAACCACACGCCTCGACTTGGATACAACCACACTAACCAACATTTAACATATCCCACTCAGAAACAACAACATTACGCAAAGGGGTCAAAATCAACAAGGTTAAACCATCAGAAACAAAACCGTCAATCAGAAATGCAATACCAGGTGAAAACTTAAAACAAATCAAGCAAACACAGAGACCCAAAACATGGATCCTGGTCCTCCAGTTCAACCTCTATAAGGAAGTTGGCCCACAGGTTTTGCTTTGAGGAAAGGACTCGACACTGTTTCGAGGATGCCACTCACGACAGTTGCGGCGTGAATGGGAAGGTGGGTCATAGAGAGGTGCAGTTGGGGGCACAAATTGCATTTGCTATGGGGTTGTCGAGATATGGTTCGCAGTGGCTCGGTTGAGGTGGCAACGGAGGGAAATGAGAAAGGATTTTGGGGATGAAGGCAGTCGCATAAGTGGCTAGGGCTGGTGTGGTGGTGGCGGTTAGCTACGGTGAGATGGAGGAGTGGTGGTGATTTGTGGTGGGGAAGCTTAGAGGGGATGGAGATGGAGATGGCCTGGTGGTGGCCTGACGATTTGGGGGAGCGATTGTGGGGGGCTTGTGGTGGCCGTTTAGTGGTGTTGCGAGTCGCAATGGAGGAGCTGCGGCCGGAGTTGAATAGGGGATGCGCGGGTTCCAGTGAAGGGTTGAGAAGGGAGCTGGAGTGGTGCTGGTCGTGGTTGGAGGTGAAAGGGAAAAGGGGAAGTGAAGGTGCAGGGAGAGTGGGGGCTGCTACACGGGGAAAAAGAGGGATTGAGGAAGAGTGGAAGCAGGGATCTCTAGGGGAAATGGTGAGACGCGTGAGTGAAGGGGAAAATGAAGGTGACGACCCAAAATTTAGGTTAAAATTAGGTCACTCAGCGCATAAGATGGGTTGGACCTTAAAAACTCTTTTGTTTTTTTTATAAAAGTAATAATTATATATATTTTTTTATTTTATAAAAATGATTAATAAAAGAATTTTTTTTTCTTTTTTTAGGTGTACAAATATTGAAGGAGAAATTATATTTTTTTCAATCATATATTTTTCTTCTTTTTTTTTCTTAATTAGGAAAAATGAAGTCATTATTTATTGTTGCAGTGATTCAACAAGTGTGATGATCTGGGAGAATTTGGTTTGTGGTGAGGTGAAAGATGAAATTTTTAAGTTAAACTAAAATTAGGGCAACTAAGTCATTGTCATGGACTAAAGTCCAGAAAGTAAAAAATGAAAAAATATAATTAAATAAAAGAAAAAAATATATATACTTTTGCATTTTTATTTTCAAATATTAATTTTTTCATGAAATTAATTTTAATTAAAATAATTAAAGTGATATACATAAATTTATTTATTTTTAATTTTTAATATATTAATATTATCAAGTTTCAACTTACTAATTAAAAAATTACTAAATAATTTTAATTTTTTTATAAATACATTGAAATATATTTTTATTAACATACATGTAATATATATACATATATATATATAAGAGACTAAATTAATAATTAATTTAATTATTTATTCAAGAATCGAATAAGTGATCGAATCAAGAATCGATTTGGTGACCGAATCAATGACCGATTCTAGTGACTAATTTAATAATCATTTTTAATTTTTTTATTCACATGCTAAATTAAAAAATAAAATCAAATAATTATATTACTAAATTATTTAATAAGTTAGTAAACTATTTTATCAATTATTTAAATTATTAAGTAGATTTATATTTAGTATATTATTAAAATATTTTTAAAAAATATTTATTTAAATGAAAAATAGTCACTAATTTAGAGATTATTTATTTAATAATCGAAATTTTAGTCACTAAATCAGTTACTAAATATAAAAAAAGAAATCAATCACTAATTCAGTTATTTTTAGTAACTCGAATTTTTTGGTCACTAATTATGGTTACTATTAACCATTTTTCTAGTAGTGACTCAATCAGTGACCGATTTCGTGGTCGAAATTTTAGTCACTAAATCAGTCACTAAATATAAAAAGGGAAATCAATCACTGATTTAGGTACTATCAATGACTGGATTTTTCGATCACTATTAATTTTTTTTCTAGTAGTGGAATCCCCTCTTTAACCTAATAAAGAATCAAGATTTGCAGAAGATTTGGAGAAATTGTTCATTGTTTTCTTTAACTTGAAAATCTCATTTTCCAAATAATTACAATTTTCGCAAGGATTAACTACTTTATATTTAGACAGAGTTTTAAATTTCTCAACATCTTTCTTTAAGCACTCATTTTATTTTTGAAAAATGACAATATTTTCTAATGCATGAAATTTTTGTTTAAGAGCAGTATATTTCTTAGCTAAACTTTCAAACTTTTCATACATTTCTTGATATGCTTCATGCAACTCATCATATACATTTGAGGATTGTGTGCTACTTACTTGTGATGAGGCTTCATCATTACTTTTTGTCATCAAGCAAAGATTTGCTTCTTCTTCTCCATCACTGCTTTCAGAAGATCTTTTTTGAGTAATGGAAGAGTCATTCTCCTCAGCAGCAATATAAGCTTTGTGTTTTCTCTTAGAGAACTTTTTCTCTTTCTTCTTTTCTTTCACATCTTTTTTATGTTCTGGACAGTCTGGTCTGATGTGGCCAGGTTTTCCACATTCATAACACTTGTTCCTATTTGTTTTCTCCTTTCTTTGCTATCCCTTTTTCCTGTTCTTCATAAATTGAAAAAACTTTTTAACAAAAGAAGATATATCAGAATATGAAAAACTCACCTTTATTTTCACTTTCATCTTGTGAAGTTTTTACTGCATTTAGAGCTATCATGTTGGCTTGCTTTTGTTCACTATTCTTTAATCTTTGTAGCTCCATCTCATGCTCCAAAAACTTTCAAAATAGAGTAACAATATCCATTTCTGTGAGATTCTTTAATTCCATAATAGCAGTGACCTTTGGTTGCCAATTCCTGTCTAAGGATTTCAAGATTTTTGTATTTAGCTCCTCATTGTCAAAAAATTTTCCTAAAGCTTCCAAGTGATTTACTATATTCGTGAAGTGTGTCTATAAATCAGTGATGCTTTCATTCTACTGCATTTGAAACAATTCATACTTCTGGATGAGTGTGTTCTTGCGTGTTCGCTTTACTTCATTTGTTCCTTCATGTGTCACTTCAAAGTGTCCCACATTTCTTTTGCAGTCTTGCACCGTGAGACCCTATAAAATTCATTTCGATTTAGGGCAGAAACAATAGTATTTCAGACTCTTACATCATATTGGGTACGCTTGTTTTCATCCAGTGACCATTTATCAAAGGACTTTGGAACAACTCCATCCATTGGAATGTAGGGATTGTTGAGTATAACATCCCAGACTTTGTAATCTAGTGTTCGTAAAAATATTTCCATCCTCGCTTTCCAAAATTGATAGTCTTCACCTTCAAATAGTGGAGGTCTGTTTATTAAGGCTCCTTCCCTATAAATTTGATTCTGCATAGACATCTTGACAGATCGTTTAGAAATAATTTATCTAACCAAGCTTTGATACCAATTGCTATCAATCTTCCCATAGTGCTTTCAATATCCCCATAGTGCTTTCAGTTTGGGTCCCGACTCTTTCTCATCAGATGGTACAAGTGTCGAGGCTGTCAAGTAGCAACTTGACTTAGCTGGTGGGAGGGCCTGATTCACATAGTTGGTTTTGAAGAAATCTAGAACCACTTATGAGTCATTGGAATTAGTTGCTTTGGCCACCAACCATATTGACACATAATCCATAACTAGATTGATATAGGTGCATCTAAATGGGTTTGAAATTGGGCCCATGGAGTCAATTCTTCGCACATCAAAAGTCTCACATGCTATGATTGGGTGCAGTTACAGTGTACTTGCTAAACTTTCTTCAGTAGTTGTCTAGGCTTCTACGAAGTTCACCTGTGTTGTTTCTAGGTGTTTCTATTTTCCTGCAAAAGAACAAAAGTCAATAATATCACTAACCTCTTTACAAATGGTGTAGCTTCCATCTGTACAATCACATTCAGGCAACTCCTGTTAGTTTAAATTATGAGATTTTAAAGGTTGATCAAGGTTAGAATAAACTCCTAGATCCAGCTTTTCATCCTCTCAGCCTTCAACTGAGCATAAGTTCTTATCCTTTGTTTGAACTTCTCGACCACTTCTCAGGGTGATTGCACTTATATTCTCATTAGGATTGATTACTGTTTGTGAAGGAAGTGCATTCGAACCTTGCTGTTGTAATGTGTTAATGGTAGTGGACAATTACCCAATTTGGGTTTGCATGTCATTGAGGATGGTTGTCATGCACGGCTCGAGTTGTGCACTTTGTTCTCTGCCTTATCATCTACTGTGTGAGTTTTTTCATCAGTTCTTCTAGGGCTGACCCAGAGTTACCCTGTGCCTGTTGATGTTATGTAGTGCCAATTGGGCTTTACTATATTAATATATATTGTTGATTCACCTGCTATCTCATTACAGGAGGTTTATACTCTTGTTGTTGGCATTGACCTTGGTTACTTGGCTAGAAAATAATCTATAGTGGCTGGTTGAAGACAAGACCATATTTCAAGTTTGGATGGTCTCTCCATCTAGGATTATATGTGGCCGAGTATGGGTTGTACTCTTTTTGTGGCTTGTATGGATTTAACTGCCTGTAATTTAGGGAATATATTGTCCATTATTTCCCTAATTGAGCTTGGTGTCTCTTAAAGTTGAGGGCATACACTAGTGGGATGATCTACAGAGGTGCATATCCCACCTAAATATTATTGTGGTTGAGATGTGTGCTGGTTCATGGACAACTATCATACCAAAGATGTTAGCTCCTTCAAAGTTCTTTCAAAGTTCGTGGCCTCAAAATCTCTTATCTATTGGAATGACAACTGTAGACCATGAACAAGTATCAAGTACTTCTTAGCTAGAACCCTCCTAGATATGTACTCTCACACTACCAAGCTATATCCAGAGTTTCCTACGAGAATAGTTTTCTAGAATATATTTTGCGAGAAAGGTTATGGATCACACACAAACAATATATATATATATATATATATATATATATATATATATATTTTTTTAATTTTTATTCTTTTTCAAACTAAATTTAGAAAAAGAAAATGATATTATACAATGTTATACAACACAATTGTGTCCCCGACAATGATGTCATTTGACGATAACATTTTGGTCGCACAAAATACTAATAAACACAAACATGTTTCTAAACTAATGTAATATAACTAACTCGGGACAAACCTCACAATGACACAATTATAGGAACGCATCCACTACCACATACTATTTTCTCTACAAATAGTAAGTAGGGGGTTGATGATAATTAAACGAAAGAGCGAAAAATAAATTGAAGCTAAATAACAAAAAAATAAAATAAAATTGCAATAAAATAATAATGAAAATTAAATTGATGCAAAATAATAAAAATTAAATAATTGGAATTTGTAAAAGTAAAACTGAGTGTTTTTAATTAAATTTGAAACTTTCCAAAATAAAGTGCAGAATAAAAAATTATTAAAATAAAAGAGTGCAGATAATTAAATTTAAAATTATCGAAAAAGATAAACCTAAATTTAAGTGAAACTTGGAATTAAAAACAAGTGAAATAAAATTGGAAAATTAGAATCGGATAATTGATAAATTTAAATCGAAAATGAAGTAAATAGAATATTAGAATAAAATAAAAATTGTAAACAATTAAATAAGAAAAATTAAATTGAGCGCAAGATGAATAAAGCAAAATCAAAAAAATAAAACTAGAAAATTCAAGAGAGATTGCAAATTAAATAACAAAAGAGAACAAATCGAAAAGAGTTGCAGTAGATCTAGCTAAGGTCATCAAATTACAAACTAAAATAAAGGAAATTGGAAACGGAATACGAAAAAAATAGGGATGAGACAAACCAACATTTCTCACCTTG